ATGGAAAACTCTACAGACTGTCGGTTCACACCCCATCACAAGCCAGCAAAACACCCACGAAACAAAGAAAGGTCTGTCACAGCCAAAAAATACACTCCAGACACGCCGCTGGCACTAGAGGCACAGCATATATATATATTTTTTAACTTTTAATTTTTATTTTAATTTTGATGAAGAATTTCGATGTGACCCTGAGGCAAAAGTTGTTCAATTTATTTTTCTGCATAACATAGTTTTTTTTCGGATTTTGTGGATTTTTTTTTATTTTATTTTTTGCTGGGACCTCCTTGCACGGGCTGGCCACCCGGGACCCCGGCGGCCCGGCTGGTACATCGATTGTGAGACATCGATGTGTCAGCTTTCTTTCCCCTTCATCTTTTCTCCCTCTTCTCTTCTCTTCCTCCCCGGTTCTCAATCAATTCTTTCTTATCTTGCCTTTTCACATGGATGTCTACTAATATTTCGGGGTGTGTCATGCATGTTTTTTGGTTAGGCCATGCGGCCGTCTCGGGATTGCCGTCTTGTGTGGATTGTTATGGCTTGCTCTTTCGACTATTTGTGACTTTTTGATCCTGCTTACTTTTCAAAGTTTTCATTTAAAAAAAAAGCAAAAAACGAAAAAGAGATCTCTGGCGGACCACGGGTACAAAATGCAGAGACCAAGACAAGACCTCAATCTTTCGTTCATACCAGCCCTTTTCCTTCCCCTTCCAGCCCCCTACATCAACCTGCAGGCTACTGAGGGAGAAAAAAAGAAAAAAAAGGGAAAAAAAGAAAAAAAATGCAAAGAAACAAGCAATGTGAATAGCAATAAACCAAGTTGTGACGTCTCACGGAAGACCAGACATTATTGAGCTGAAATTGAAAGCGGAAATCAACGTGAGGTCCACACCAAATAGGAACGAGCAAAGCATTGAAATCTCATGACAATGAAAGCCCTCTTCCATTGGCTCCGATCACCAATACAACACCAATGTAGCGCTCCTACAGGTAGGTAGCTGTACTGCCGACTCTACCTCCTACGACACCTATCAGACTAGCCTACTCATGTCAGCAACTGGTTCGCGTGTGTGGTCATCCCAATGCCGCTTGAAGACTCTGATCAAACAGCCTGCTTTTGTCAACACCAGGAACATGCCACGTCACACTGCCTCTCTTCCTTTAAACCACACCCTGCTGTCACCAAGGACCTCTGCAGGCAGCCCGGCTATGCCTGCAGCTCTCCCCTTCTCTCTCCTCGCTGCCACCGCTCTGCTTCCTCCTCTGGCACAGTGCTCAGCTGCCGCATTGGCACAATGCCCGAAAGTGTGTAATGCTGTGCCCTCCAGCCTTTTGTGCTGGCTGGAGAGGCTGAGCAGCCCCGGACCAGACCGCACCCAGTCCCAGTTGCCTGCACCCTGGGCCTTTCTAGAATATGCATGAAGCCCAGCATCTTCAACTAACTCGCGGGAGGGGCCTACTGGTCAGTCGAAGATGCTGCATGCCTGCATCAACTATCTGGGGGCCTCATTCTGCTCACACTGGCCTGTTCTCAGGCCCGGCTTCGTTCTTTGTAGGCCTGCTTTCACTTAGGACAGGTGGGGCGCTTTCCTTGCTGACTGAGGTGCAGAATCCTCAAAAAAAAAAAAAAAAAAAAAAAAAAAAAAAAAAAAAA